CAAACTCAGACTCTTCTGCTCCCAAGCTAACTGAACTGTCATCCTCACAGACTCCAGTGAACCTGCCCCCAGGCCTGAACCAGTTCCAGTGTTTATTCCATGTGCATGTATTCAATAAACATTGTTAAACTTTTCATCTGTTTCCGTGGTGTTCTGCATATTGGGCTTTTCTGAAACCCATCATGACAGTCAGTACATAGTATCACTGAAATGATAACACACTGGAGCGTTAAATAATACTGCAATTGAGAATCATAACAGTTAAGCATCTTGGTTGAATGGCATTTTTAAGAACTGAGATATATTTTTACGTACCCAAGCTCAGGTTCGTTGATGTAGCCACTTTCATCTTTGTCAAGGATCTTGAGCATCCTTTCACCTCCTTTGAGGACAAGCCACATATCTTGAAGAACTCCTTATGCTTGAACGAGCCTACAGCTTCTCAAACAGACACACACAGATACATATAAACATCATAAACACACACATAAAGCAAGGTAGAGACAAGACAATATTAACTTTATTATAACATAAATCTGACCTGGTAGATTCAGCTGCAGAGAAGGAGGCTGGATAGGCAGAAAAGGAGGGGAAATAACTTATTGATAATCATTTAAGTTTAAATACAACAAATGGTTGTTTTTCTAGAGTAAGGTACCTTCAAAGGTGTCGACTGCCTTCTTTATGTATTCAGGTTTAAGAATCTTGGTGAGTGACATGATGATCCTGTAATGTAAAAAAGACAGATTGTACTTTATGAACAGGACAACACAATCTCTGGCTCTGAAAGACACAGGAATATCATCATTATTTATTTTTTTCTGACTCGTGCTTTAGGTGTTTCCTTTAGATCCATTTTGGTGTCACCATGGATTAACCTCTCAGTTGTATCAACTTTGATATCATGATCGCATAACAATTATTGTCATATGTGTATAAAAAATGATCATAAATACAAATATATTTATTCTTTTTAATATACAAATATAATGAAGCATCGTAACAGATCTAACATATTCTATGTAGTCATAATCACCTAACTTTTCTTGTCTCTCCACTATAATTTTGTAAAGTTTTGTGTATTTCTCTGAAAGATAAATGTAGGTAAAATTTTGACATTCGCTGAAGTTCAGCTAAAGCTTATAGTAGTATGTTAGCCCTTTTAAGTCCAGCTCCAACACAGCAGCAACAGCAGCATTAAAAGTCTGATAGCTGCTG